AATTTAGTATAGAGTATCCAATACCGGGAGCGTAACATGACGTTATGACAATAGTCACCAAAACCATCTCGTCATATTCTTAAAAAAATAAAAAATTACATCAAGAAATAAGGGGCCATCCATAAAATACGTCACACGAATTTTAGGACTTTTGAACCCCTTCCCCCGTCCTTGTCACAGGTTGTCACATTTTTAGAACCCCCTCCCCTCTGATGTGACGTCGCACATTTTTCAAATTTATGCATGTATTAAAAAATCATCAAAAGAAAACAATTATTTTCATTTTCTTCTAATTTTTATTAAATGTGGGTGCTAAATAATTATTAATAAATATAGATCAAAGTCGAAAATGTTTAAAGTTGTTTTTTACATATGTTTATAAATTTCGTGCTTTACTAGTTTAAATTTTAACATGTTACGTCACAAAACTTTTGACCCCCCCCCTGCCTCTTGTCGCACTATGTCACATTACGCCGTTACGGTGATACCCCCCCTCCCCGTTAACGTGTGACGTAATTTATGGATGGCCCCTAATGATAATTGAAAAAATTGTGAATTGATCATAATCAGTTCATTTCGCTCTTAAAAATTAACTAAAACATGTATTGACATGAATCAAAAAATAAAATGCTCAGGAGTCATGGTTCTGACCGTAAAATTATATTTTAGGAAAATTTACACACGAAATTATTGCACAGGGTGTTTTAAAGTTAAAGTAAAAAAAAAGAACACTTCGATTAACCCTGTATAATATGCCAAATACTAAAGTTTATATAAAACTTAGTTTACGAATTAATGTTGATATAATTATGTACAGCTTGCTAAAAAATTCATGAAAATAGGGCTAAAAATAACAGAAATATTTCACTTTAAATTTGACTAAAAATTCCTCGGTTGCGTTTTTTTTGCATCTGAGCGTATATTAAGAAGAATACCTAATATGAATGAAAGTTATTCCTGAACAGATGGCTTGTATTTTATTTCGATACAAGGCGCAAATATAAAAATGAATGTCACGATAAGTCAGGTTGACTGTGATTGATCATCTCTACATTGTGTTTTGGTTCTCTAAAAAATTCCGAATTTCAGAAAATAATACAAGACATATTTTAATGATACACTCTCATTAACAAATAACTGAATTATTTACTAGACAAAACGAATTACGATGTTTTCAGTTTACCAAGTTGATTGCATTGCAGATGTATTAAAAAATAACAGTTTCTATACTGAAAGTTGTATTTTCCTGACAATATTCTGATTTCCAGAAAAAATACTTCATCAAAATTACAAAAAAGCGTTTCGGTATCACACAAATTTATATTAATATATTTAACTTTTTCGGAAGTAACGGCCACAAGACCGACTATTCTTTTACGGTTCCATTCCATACGTATCAATATAACACCGTACCCGTCAACCCATAACCATATATCATATTAGAGAGACCCATAGAAACCAGTCTCGAGGTACCTGAGGAATGTTCATTCAGTGTTTGGTGCGTTCTTTTTGTTGAATGATCGGTTTTTACCTGACTTGATTGATGCTCGGAACAGTAACAAGACACACAAATTATTTTTGGACTGGGCGGGAAGATTTTTTCGGTACTATTTGAGACATATTTTGTAGTACCTGTAAAACCATTCTAAATAAAATCTGTTTAAAAGTTAATTATCGCAAAAAAATTGTATAAAATAGTGCTACCATTTGTTGATTTAAAAACAATCTAAAATGTCAATATTCCATGGGTATATTGATAAATGAGGTCTAAATGATAATAAAATGCATTTTCTATGAAAACTTGAAGGATAGTTAAAAAATGGTATATTACAATTTAATAGACAATTAAATTGTGCATCTGATTCTCCTAAAATATACAGGGTGTTCTACTTAAATTAAACAAGTTATTGCCGTTTAAATCTAGAAAGTATTTAAAATACATTTTTAGACACTCTGTATGAGGTAGTATTATTTCTATTATTGCAACACAATAACTGATCAATAAATAAACTTTAGTAAATATTTAGTGTTAAAAACTATGATACCCTTGGAGAAATGAAGCATTAAAAATTTTACTGCTATTTCACAAAATTGAAAATTATTTTAAAAACGGTAAGGTTTAAGTGTGATAAACCTTAATCAAATTTACCTTTTTTTAATCGTAGAAACTAAAAATGTAATAACATACAGGGTGTTCTATTTAAAAAAATACATCTTTGATATTTTTTATTTATTTGGGCCAGTGTGTATCTTGTAAAAATATTTTTAAATTGTAGCTCTAATAGTCCTTCAACGAACCCAAAACTTACAATTTGTAAAAATCTAATCGTTTAGCTACAATAATCCGTGTCGTATGTGGTGAACAACCCTGTATATCAGAAATTTGATTTTTTGCACTACACTATAAAAGCTATCGGTATAGTTAAGTAACTTGGTGCTTGTCTCAATAAATAACAGTACAGGGTGTCCATTTTTCCACACTTTTGTATGCTATCTCGTTTATTTTTTAAGATAGAAGGTTGCCATTTTTGCAACACTTTACTACTTTTTAATGGAACTAATGATGCTACCAACAAAGTTTCCATAGCCCTCTTTGTTTCTGAGATACAAGGTGAAATTGAAAAATGGCATTTTTGGACACCCTTCTTATCTCGGTTGTCTCTTATTAACCCTTTATAGGGCAGTACTAATTATTTTTTTAGCACAGCCATGGCACTCTAGATTGAAATTTAAATTACAATTTGTTTCTGAGCAAATATGTCAAAAGTTGACACATGATATGTCATTGGATTCAGAGTGTCATTTTCTATCGAATAAAGTAAAAAAATACGGAGGGTGCTATTTAAAAATCAAAAGTTGTAGTCATTTCCGGTGAAACAGGAAGTGACAGAAAACAATTGAATACATCAATCAATCCTATTTTATGTCATATACTAACATACCAAATCTCGTTTTTTTATCTGAAAAAATAAAAAAGTTATAGGGTTGAGCCACTTTTGAGACGCACCCGGTATAAATTAGCACAAAGGGAGCATATTTTCTTAATAACATTTTTCAAAAAGTTAACAAATAAGGGAGTGGGGGTGGTGGTCGATTTTTAAACCAGAGACTGTCAAGGCAAATAAATAATATGTAATGATCTAATGTATAAACTGTATGTATCATCCAATGTAAGAAAAGAAAGTGAGTTCCTTTTGATTATCTGTGTTAGCTCTCCACTCAAAAATATGCCCATATCAAGTAAATCAAATTTTGTTTTTCGAGAAACTCGCATCCTGTGAAAGATGATCGAACACATACAGGATATGTTAACGATTTCAGAAAATATCATCCGAGCCGTAAATTTGGTCCACTAAATAAAAAGAAATAAACGTCACCGATACATTTGTATCTATTTTCTATATTTTTAAATTTTTATAGCACGAAATTTGTATAGAAAATGCTTAGACGCTACTTACCAACGCTAACTGGTCGAATATTCAACCGCTTACGTTAACTTTTCGCGCCAATTCAGCCAAGGTATAGATATGGTTGATTAAATAGCCATGGCGCGCATAGAAATGAGCATAGCAAACAAACTGGACGATAATACACTTCCACGCGACTGATTAGTTGGTTAAATTAAAGTGGTAGATTTAGCGATCATCAACAAAGGGTTGAAAAATGATAATGCCATTCTTATAAAACTTCTTCGGTAGAATCCAGCGGCGTGGCTAGATTTGTCCTAGCGCACTCCTTTTTGCAGTTATGAAGTAAACATACGTTTTTTTAATGAAAAACCCTCTATATTTTTATATGTGCAAATTGGGTATCATTTTCACTTTCCACAAATAAGTGATTTTTGTACCATTGTAGGATACTCTGTGTGTGTGAATAGTTTACAACATGATTTCAGTTTGAGGCATTTTTTAAACTTAAATAATTAATCATCCAATGTTTAAGATTAATATTTGCTGTGGCTATTATACAGGGTGGTCCGAATTGTATTAGGGAAACTTCGGCAGCATATTCGGCAGATAAGAATATGTAAAACAGTTCGTATAAATGTATATCCTAAAATACTTAGTTTTGAGATACAGGGTGTAGAAGTTTCATTTTTATTTCGATTTTTTCCTAATAATTTATGAACTAATGTAGATATTTAGATGAAACTTGGTGTCTAGAAGTTATTTGACACGGGAAATTTGATTCCGATGTCAATGCGGCTCCCTGTGGGAGGGGGCGCCACCTACATATTTTTAACTGGTTTGAAGAGTAATAACTTTTCGTCCGTACCTGTATAAAACTGCTGTGTAAAAAATTATACATTTCTGCTATTTTTTATTTAAAAAATGTCTCTTGATAAAAATTGCTACGATTTATTGTTCTCGAGATATTTAGAATCAAAATTATCAATACATGTCATCATTAACAAAAATTAAATATATTGACAAGATAGTTATTAGACTGAAATCATAAATTTAAAGTGTTTTTGTGTCAAAAGTACAACAGACACTGTTCCATCATATTTTTTTGTAGAAAAAATTATGATTATTAAAAAAAATAAAAAGTTCCCAAATTCATTATTTCAGTCAAATAACTATCTAGCCAGTATGTTTATTTTTTGTCAATAATGACATATTGATAATTTACATTCCAAAAATCTTGATAATGGTTAGTATTAGCGATTTTTATTCATTATTCATATTACATATTATTTATTATAAATATTACTTATGATATATTTCCCCCGGTATATTTAAGCATGTTTTTCTCGATAGTTATTTCTTTTCTTCATTTTTCTTACACTCATATTATCTACTTGATCATAATATTCTATAGCCAAATTCACGGCAATACACAACTGTGAAAGTGAATTTGATTATAGCGATTGATATAAACGTGCTTAAAAATAGTGGATAAAATAAATGTCTCTGTCTTCTTCCGAAAGAATGTTGATTAGTTGTTTTCTTTTCAAATTTCAGCCTATGATTCACCGCAATATGAATTTGGACCCATACTGACCTCAATGGGAAAGGTCAGTAACACAATTTTTAAGCACGTACCCTATATATACCGTGTGATCGAATGAAAATAGTGCCACAGTATGCGTAGAAATAATTTTTCAGTTCAATCGTCACTTTGTCTACACAATGGCATCTGCTAAATAGTTATTTCAATTCTTGTAAACTTTAAATGGACAGTATTCTTTGGTAATATTGTATATTGTCGATTTACACTTTAACAGTGACATTCGACAGACATAACAAAATTCGGACTGAAGAGTTATTTCTACGCCTACTGTGACATCGTTTTTATTTAGCCATACGGTATTTATTGTATTTTAGAACATCCAAAATTGCTTCTTTAATTTATGCTTATTTTGTGTTACGCACGCTTAGACTATCAATGTTTTTATAGTAAAAGAAGACCTTCATATTGTTTTAACAGCAAAAATATTATAATTATAGGTTTAAAATAGGTTGCTGAATATTTTGATTTGATATTAGATTAATTAATTGCTGATCATATATTTATTAATGATGGACAGGTTAAGATAAGCTTTGAGTACGAAAATATGGATTGCACTGTGTAGTCCCTATTTTGCTGGGTGAGTGTTAAATAAGTGCAAAAATTGCAATTATTTAAGATTCACCCTGTATAGTTGACTGCACTGTGTTTTTTTAAAACTGTAATTGAATTGATCCATTGCAACTAGTTAAAGAAAATTCAGTATTTTTGGGACAATTCTTATCTAATCTTTTCTACAAATTCAATAAATGTCACCTTTTGTATTACAATTAGGAGAAAAATAAACAAAAATGAAAATCATTGAATCTTTGAAGACCCTGTATTGAGCTTTTTATTATATTCGATTCGAATAATAATAAAAGTAGTAAAAAAGTTATATATTTCTTCTTTTCAATTCAATTTTGTCTTATGCAAAATAATGGCTCTTAAATAACACGATATTTAAAGGGTTTGAAAAAATTGCAAATATTTATATTTGAACACACTTATATTAATTCAAAGGGCAATATACAGGGTGGTCCGAACTATATTCCGGAAACTTCCTCAACATATTCTGCACATGAAAATAAGTAAAAAAGTTCGTATAAATGCATGTCCTAAAATGCTTAGTTTCGGAGATACAGGGTGTAGAAATTTTATTTTTACCGAATGATATCTGACTTGTCATTATTGACAAAAAATAAACACGTTGAGTAGATAGTTATTTGACTGAAATAATAAATTTGGGAAATTTTTATGTTTTTAAATTAATCATATTTTTTTCTGCGAAGAAATGATGATAAAACAGTTTCCGTTGAACTTTTGGCACAAAAACATTTCAAATGTCAAAAGTCAACAAGTTTAATTTATATCAATGATGACAGGTATTGATAATTTCGATTCCAAATATCTGGAGAACCATTACTCGTAGCGATTTTTACCAAGAGACCTTTTTTCCATAGAGAACGTCGTAAATTCACATTTTTTTACTCAGTAGTTTCATACAGGTACGAACGAAAAGTTATTACTCTTCAAACCAGTTAAAATATGTAGGTGGCGCCCTCTACAAATAGAAGTTATATTGATACCAAAATCAAATTTCTGACTTCAAAAAATTCCCAGATACCAATTTTCATCCAAATATTTACATTACTTCAAAAATTATTTGGAAAAAACCGAAACAAAAATGAAACTTCTACACCCTGTATCTCCGAAACTAAGCATTTTAGGATATACATTTATACGAACTCTTTTACTTATTTTTATCTGCAGAATATGCTGTCGAGGTTTCCAGAATACAGTTCGGACCACCCTGTATATCTTTATATGGGCTTACCAAATTGTTCCATCTTCGTTTGTTACTTCCAGTATTTTTAAATAGTCCAATTATACATTTCTGATATTTAGTAAATAATAACGGTGCTTAAAACTGCGATTTTGTATGGACTAAAAGTTATTTCCTCGATTATTGTTCGCTCTCTAATCTTGTTTTGAAGGCCGGGATAAAAATAAGCTGTGCTTTTATGTATGTATTTCTTTTTCATGTTGAACACTCTACTTAGATGTATTGAAAAATAGTAATTTTTGACTGTAACACATGTTTTTGGCAAATGTTTCGATTTTACAAATAACAAAGTCAAAATTTTAAGTAAATTTTCAAGATAAAGAAAAAGCCAAAAAATTTACGTCAACGAATTGACATAATTTGCAGAAATTTTTCGATCTATAAGTTGTTTTAGCATCATCAGTACCAATCACTAATCGCAAAATCTTCTAACACAATATTGCCAACTATTGCAACCATTGTTGATCGCTCCGTATGAAAATATCGTTATAAAACATTATATTTTATTTGTTTCTTACATTCTTGCTGTCTGCAAAATTGATATTAATAAGTAGGTACTAAATTAGAACGTTATTAAGTGTTTTTGTTAGGTAACATTAAACTTCGCCGGTATTAACTTAATTACGAGTATAAAATATGGTACCGAACGACAGGAAAATATACCGGTAATTAAGTGATCAACTGCCACCTCTGATTAAACTAAACGATTTAATAAATAACCTTTAAATAATTCACTGTAGGATATATGTATTTTTGCAGCAACTATATAGTTTGTAGTTTTAATTGTGTCTAGAATATGATAACGTATTTTAAATGGCAAATGAAAGGAATACGGATATTTATGACGAGAGTTCTGTTTTTTAATAGAAATGTAATTGTCAGAACCGTATGAAGTTTTGATTGCTTGTACAAATGTGGAATGTTCGGGAGGGGTGTTATCACCCTTACAGATCTGTTTTGTGTACCTATTTTTTTTAGTTATAACAAGTTATAACTAATCATACAGTCTCAGGGCCTTGACAAAATCCAGTCTCTAATACGGCTTCACAGAGGCTAGTTCTTCATCTCCGATATCAGTCGTACCAAAGTTTATGGCACGAATGGTTGTCGTCTCGGCGCACTCAGTGATGAGGTGTTCTGGTGTTTCCCTATTTTCCCCACAGAATCTGCATTTGTTGTTGTTTCTTAGTTTCAATCTACTGAGGTGTTTGTTGAGGAGACAGTGTCCACTCTGTCACAATCCGGAGATTCTTCTTCCTTAAATTAAGGAAAATCTTTTCTTGGTCGTAAGTTCTTGGAAATTTGATTGTGTGTTAGAGATTGAAATTTAAGTGTCTTAGACCGTTTGAAGGATTCCCAGGTTACGGATGGAGGTTCTTGAGTTCCACTTTAAGTTGGTTTTCACTTGGAAAGCAAAACGGTTAATGGAGTGTTCGCTCCTTTTCTAGTTTCTAGTTAGATCGTTTATTTTTTCATTTCCTTCTATCACTTGGTGATTTTCTTTGCCTAATTTATTCAGCTTCTCTAGGCATTCTTTGACCAACTTTGAATTGATGGTTAAATACTCCTAACCCTGTCCTCACTTTGGTTTTGGAAGCATCAATATATCACGTTATTGAATGTTCTTTATCTGCTGAGCTTGTATATGCATTATACAGGGTGTCAAAAAATAGTGTATCTAACTTTGGTGGATGATACTACAGATAAAAATACAACAAACAATTCCTATGAACATATGCCCTAAAATACTTCCCGAAGAAGTTAAAGCCTTCGAAAGGCCAATAAAGGTATATAAATATTTTGTTTATTTTTAAGAACATTGATAAACTGTTTTTCTTGAAATTTGGTACTCTTACACACATTTTAATGCCAAAGCGAATGGCAGTTGTATAATATTTCGTAACAGCCCTGTAAGGGTACTTTCCATTAGGATAGAAAGTAATACTGGTGGTACTTCTTTTATCCTTATAGATACAGTAATTTTAAGACATGACGTAAAAAGCTAGGACCTTGTTACGTAGAAAAGGTGTTCTCAGTTTAGTTCAAAAGGGTGAAAGGTTTTCAACTCGGTTTTCAAGATATTTGCTTTTAAAGGTAACGATGCATCGATTTTAGTATTTACAATTTCTTTAAATTTTACCCACCAAGAGATAGAAATTAATGAAAAAGTAAACGATCTAGCTAAAACAGGAGCAAACCCTCCATGTCCCACTAACTAGACCAGTGGAAACCAACTTAAAGCGGAACTCAAGAACCTTCGAAGACTCCATCCGTAACCTGAAATGAAAATCCCCCAATGGTCTAAGACACTCGAAGGGCTTACGACCGAGAAAAATCAAAGATTTTCTTTGATTTTAGTATGAACAATCTACGGATTGTAACGGGGGGGCCAAACCAAACCAAACAGTACATTGTCGCCTCAATGAATACCTCAGCAGATTGAAGCTAAGAAACAACGGTGAATGCGGATTCTGTGGGGAAAATGAGGAAACACCAGAATACCTCATCACTGAGTGCGCCGAGACGATAACCATTCGTGCCATAACCCTGACATTGGCAGTATCTATTATTATTGGAGATAGACTGGCTTTTCTCAAAACCCTGAAACAGTATGATAAGTTATAACTCAAGAAAGGGGTACACAATAGATCTACAAATCGCGGTGATTAACTTCCCCCCTCGCATACAATCTACATTTACATAATAACTAGGTCGAAACAACTAAAATATTGAAAGAATAAGGCAATCTTAGTGAGAGCGCCCACCAAAGTAACGTAGCATCTGACGTGACACGTAATCTGGCAAGGAGTAACATGCACCTAGCAAGTTACGTCGAATTGAACAAACGACAATAAGTGTGTCAGCGCACACTGAAGTAACGCTGTCAGAAACGTCATTTGTCGTTGTAGCATGCCATGCTACTGCTTCAAAACTAGAACTGGTTCTACTTTTCGCCACGTGCTATTAACACGTTACTCGAATTTGGCAAGAATGAAAGACGATCCGGACTTCAATATACGTTTTGTATCACTGATTGAGACTAAACCATGCATGCATTTGTGACCACACTCGTGCCGATTATTCCAATAGGAATAAACAAGACAAAGGTTTCTTTTTTCATTCCATAAAATGCTTGAAATCTTTCAGGATAGATATTCAATTCCTTAAAAACACTAAATCCA